TATGATCCCCATTGAAGAAATCAGTCTTACAGAGATCAATAGAACTTATCCAAGGCTACATACCTATTCCTTAGCAAATTTGGATTTTGAACTCTGGCAGCCTATTATAGTGAGTGCATTTAACCACCATACCAATTTGTTTGCCACTGTGCCAGACACCATAAAGGTTTATAAGGTGGATAAAATGGAACTTGTGTCCTCAGAGTTTATGATATGAGAGTGAAATTGTGATGCACACTAAAATTCATAGGCTGTACAGGAAAATGGCATGGTTATAGTCCCTGGAGCTAGGAAGAAATGGGTCTGAAGATGAGCAAACAATTGCTTTGCTGAGTTTCTACTTCTGCAACTACAGGAAAAGTAAGATGGAACCTAACTTCACAAGGGAAAATGTGATGAGCCCACCAGGAAAAGAAACCCTGGTCAGAGCACAAGTGTATTCACATATTTACCAGATTTATTATGGTTACTATTGTTATGATTATCAGCTACCGTCACTTGAAGTGAATATTTACACTTACCCTAAAATTACCTAATTGTCAGTTCAAATGACAAACCATGAATTTGGAAGGACTGATCTCACCTCAACCTCTATTTTTGATTTTTCTGAATTTTTTATAAGCACACCCACACTCCTAATAATTTGACTTTCAAAGGGATAAACAAATTGCATTCTTTGGTGGGAACAAATTATATGAAAATGAAATAGACATTGTTTAGAGAAAATTTTAAAAATTGAAAGCAGGATATGCTTCTTTGTGATTTTATTATGTAAATACAATAGTAAGGTAAGCAGGATCATTTTTTATCCACAATACCTAAAATCTCAATTAGTTATGGTCTATTTGTGCACTGACTAAAAACATTTATTAACAAAACTGAATTTTCTAGTTTACTGGAAAAATATACCAGGAGAAATTGCAGAATAATATTGGGTTGCCAAGCAACCACAGCTCTACCCTCTCTTGTTTGTGATCAGTCCAACTCATTCATCAAGCTTCCTAGCCCAGTGCTAGAGAAGTCCAAGCAATTTATTTCTTGGGAAAATTATAGTGACTTTTGATAACACAATACCACTTTTATTCTCAGAAGATAAACTTAGATGTTCTTTTGATCAAAGGGATGTGTTAATTCATTATTCTCTACGTGGTGCTAATGAGAAAGCTATAATTACCTAACTACACTATTGCGACACACATAAAATAAACTGCAGCAATTAGTGATGTTTAAGGTGTTAGCCAGCCTCCAAAATTACAAAATACAGAATCTTTCCTCTAATAAAGATGTACAGAAAAGAGAAAGCACCATATCTAATGAAATTGAGAATTGTTTCCAGTCCTTTCCAAGGGGAGAGGAGGAGGCTTGTGATCACCAAAATGTGAGATTTCACTTTAATAGCAGAGAAAATGGCTCAGTGCCAATTCTACTTGTAGGTAGACATGAAATGCTGGGAAATAATGTAATCTTTTCTTTCAAAGAATGCTCAGCACAATATTTTTCCAGGAACGACTAGAAAGAGTATTATGCTTTCACTCATTAGCTGTGTTAACTTAGCATATTGTATGTAAATCACCATAATAATTGCATTCTCTTCAGACTGAATTAGCTAGAATGAAGCTGTAATCAAAATGCTCATAATTGAAAATATAGTATTCTCAGACTTGGGTTGTAAAAATAACAATGAATGCTGATTGAATCAGATGACACAGTTTCTCACTGAAAATAGCCTTCAAACAGAGACAAGTTCATCTCCTTGATTACACCTTTTCATTTTAACTCTCTTCCTGAATTCAGGACTCAATGCCTCCTTAGCACCTGTCAAGTTTTCCTGTTTATGTTCTTTGTTTTGGCCTAACTTAAGCCTTCCAAGTGCACTGTTGTTTAGATGCTCATAGAAAATATAAAATGGTTAAAAGCTAAATTTTGTTTCTACAATATATTGGACTCTATTACACTGTTGTCTGTTATAAATCAAAGGGCAAACTAATTTCTAATAAGTGGAACATGTAATGCCAAAGCACCTGGGAAACAACATGTAAATTATCCCACGAGTTTCAGATAAGCTGTAACACTAATTCCTCAAAGTGCCTTTTAAAAATGACATTCACTGTGAAGATGAGAGTGCAGCAAAAGCCAAACTTGAAGCAATACTCTTCTGACTAAATAGATGCTCATAGAATTTCCTGACAACCATTCCTTCAAACCTGATACCATTAGTTCCCCTCTATTACTTAATTTTCCTTTATGAATTAAAAACTACTAGGATCACATATCAGTCTCTATCATATTCCTTATTTAATTCTCCATAGAAATAAATGAGGTTAAATTATTTCAACAAAGCAATTTTAGGTCGAACAATCGCCTGTCTTCAAAGATTTCAAGCTTCTGTCCAGCAATTTTTTTTTTTCAAAGTGAGGTTTTTCCTAAATGTCACTAAGGATCCTTGTAACAGCAATATCTGTCTGGCTTAACTGTCTCAAGTCTATCAAGCCATGTCCATAATTTAGTAAGCACATTGAAATATTTAAAACTGGTTCATTTAATAGGATGTATTAATTTAAAAGTCATAAAATATATTATGGGCAGTATCAACTCCTGTCAGACATGCAAGGAGGTCCATAGTACAGTTTTCTCTTCAGAAGAAAAATGGAACACTCTTAGGACCATGAAGTATCAAAAAACATCTACAGCTTTTAAAAGTATATCAGTAAACATCTATAGTCTTTCCTTTAAAGGATGGGACTTGTAAATCAATATGGAACAGAAAATAATCTGGAAGATATATATTAATAGCCATAGTCCTGTACATCTGTAGTGAAGTAGGTCCAAACATGCCCTGAAAGAGATTTTAATGAACTGTCGTAGTCAATACTCACACTTGCCTAGTAATGAGTATTTGTCTCCTTTGATTCAGTAACAGTATCATCCAATAACAATGAGCTTGCAGGGAATGATTATAGTGACACTGCCATTACTAGAGATAAATCCATGTGCCATAAAATGGAGTATCAGGGTGTATACTAGATTAGATCCAAGTTAAATCCTGAAAACTATAAGGTAGTCCATCACAGAGAGATTGAAATTAAGACAAACCCAACTGCAACAAGGGCAATTGAAAGAGGAAGCATGAAATTTTACACACAAAGCTGCAGAATAAGCCTTTTGTTTCCTTGTTACCCAAAGTTTCCCTGAATATCTTTCTAAATTTCTCTGACCTTCAATATATTGAAAGCCCAGCTTGACCAGCAATTTGTCTGTTTATATTTCCAGTTTAGTAAAAGCCAGAGTTGGACTGGGTTGTAATAATACTAATACTGAGATTAATCTTTAAAATTGCAAAGCACCGAATTTTCCCTTTCCCCATCACATCCAATTACTTGTGGATTAATATTAAAAGAAATGCAATCAACAACTAACTTTTGAACTATATGATGCATCAGACACGGGGTAAATTGTCTACTCGGCCTGTCTCATTCCAGTCTTACAACAGCCCTATACAGGAGATGTAGATATTATCCCTATTATTTGGACAGGGAAAGTGAGGCACGGAATAAAGGGCTCTTCCAACTCACACATCACAGAGATGGTGGAGGTGGAATTCAAATCCACGTGCTTGCCCCAGGAGATTACCTTGCCCTAACCAAGGTGTTTTACAATTGCTCATTTCCGCGAGCACGCGCACTCCCCCCAGCGTCCCAGCGGGAGCGAGCCAGCGCGCACGCGCCTGTCCAGCCAGTCGCTTGCCTGCTCCATGGACGGCTCTGTAGCTCTCGCCAGAGGGGCTGAACCCCAGCGCCCCTCTCTGAGGGCTGAGCGGCCTCTTCCTTGCTGTCGAGCCACCCAGCTGGGCTCTGCACACCTGTCTTCCTCTGCTGCCTGCCATAGTGTCCTCAGCTACTCGCTTTGCTGACAGCGCAACCAGCTTTCTGCGCTCGGCGCTGTACAGCACCTGGGCTTGAATATCTGGGCCCGTGACGACGTGGCTTCCCTGGCCCCTGGGTTTTCGAAGAAATTCCTTAGCCCTGGCCCCGGCTGTGAAAGTGTGGTTCACACCGAGCAAAAGGAGTGGGAAGGAAAAGACCAGGGCTGCCCAGCCTCGTGGTTCCAATCCTCCAAATTAATCACTTTCTTCCTGCTCCCTCCCCACGCACAATTTCACAGTGAAGGGGGGGGGAGAGAGAGAGAGAGAGAGAGAGAGAGAGAGAGAGACAAAGAGGGAAAAGGGACCATCCGTGACTGGCATCTCTAGCTCCCTGCGCTCAGCTACCAGGGAACCATGGCAACCAGGGCCGGGTGCGCTCTCACCCCGTGGTGGTCTCCGGAGGTGGAGCGCCTATGCCTCCCAGTTTCCTCGGCCCCCCAGCCCAACCCTAAAGAACCCATTTCTAGGCTGGCAGCATTTTTGGAACCCCACTGGGATCTGGAATCCTCTCCTGAGAATAAAAGCAAGATACGGGTTCAGGGCACGGGATTGTGGGGAAGGGATCTTAAGCCCCACAATCTAAGAGATGGGCAGGGGAGACAGAGGCCAAAGCTGATTTCAAACTGTGCTGAACCTCGTACTCCCCACTCAAGAGCAGGCTGGAAACTACAAGAAGATAGAAATCGGCTCAAGGGGATACGGAGGGGCGGAGGCGTGAGGTGCACGGAGAGACTGAGGGTCGTCCCACCGGTGACCTTATTTACTCCGTCGGACTCACCTGAGCTGTCTGAATCTTGCCTCAGTACCCGAGGTGAGCAGAAAAAGGCGATGTCTCTTCTCAGGTTGAGGGCTGAGGGACCTCGGATCAGATCACTCCCATTTAGGGCAAGGATGGGGCCGAGATTGCACACCATTCCCTACCCGGAACGGGTGGATCCTGTGCTCCCAGGAGCGACCCCTTCTCTCTCTCTCTCTCTCTTTCCTTCTCTCTCTCTCTTTCTCGCCCCCCCCCCCAGCTGTCTACTGGGCGAACTGGCAAAGCCCCCAGGGCTAGCAAGAGACGTGCAAAGTGACTCACCTGAGTCGCCTCCAGCACCCGATATGTCCCGTATCTTCCCTCCGGGAAACTTCTCCCCAAGCTGGCTGGAAGCGGGAAGAGGGAGCAGCTGGGTCCGGCGGGGGACAGATCCTGGAGTTTCTCGCCGGCCGATACCCACCGATCCGCAGCCGGGTCTGCCCACGGAGATCCCACCAGTCCCCTCCCGCTGTTGGCACTGGTCGAGAGAAGGCTGGACCTGCTCTGGCTGGCGCTGGGATCCACGCCCTCCTGCCGGAGACTGGCTCGCGCCTCTCCTCCTCCTTTCCTGGGTTCTGCTCTGCCACCCCTCACCCACGCCGCGGATATTCCCTCCCTTTGCACACTCCCTTGGGACAGAGAGAGTTACAGCGTTAAGACTTTTATTTCCTGAAAATCAAGCGATGAAGCCAAAACTTTGCTTGTCATCTTCTGCATCTCTTAATCCCAAGAGGTAGGACAGGCCCCTTTATCAGCAAAGGTGACATTTAAAAGTCCCCCCCCCCCAGGTTTTGCTCAGTTCCTGTGCCAAACGGGAGTTGCCAGTCTGGTTTTCCCCCCATTGCTACATGTTAGAGGGGTGTGGTGCCATGTGCCTATAAAAAATTGTCTTCTTGCTCTCCTTTCCTCATTTAGAGACGTGATTGGGCTTGCTATTAAATCTACAAAAGCTCCTACTACCATAAGCTGTCAAATCTGTGCATGGAGAAATTGAGAGACTTTCCACTATTACCATTTTTATAAATTTTCCTCCACTATTTAAGGAGTCCATATTTCACCACATTGTTCCACAATGTGTTTCCTACTTACTCTCTGTTAATTCACTATTATAGAAGAAAGCCTTGTGTACATCTTTCCAATACAAAAAGCCATTCCTGATGCCTTGTCAGTTCTACTAATAAAAAGAAATATTTATTTTAGGATCTCAGATATGAGAAAATTGTAGTTCTTCTTTTACTGTAACTGATGTGTATAGCCCTTTAATTTTCTTCCCCATCATTGACGTTTTCCAAAATGTTCACACAATACCACTTTTAAAATCCTGTTTCATTTAAGATCTCTTTGATGGTAACAGAATTGTTGACTTCTAATTTTCACTCCACTAATCCTGTGAGACTGATCAGTTTCACAGAGAGCCTTAAACAATGAGGTATTTAGGGCTGTGATCAGCCCTCAGATCTGGATGCCTACAAAGAGCAGAAAGAGGGAAGGCAACTCTGGATCCTGCCTCAGAAGCAACTGCATAAAATATACTGAAAATGAATAAGTGGACTTTTACATTTTAATAATTGCTAACCTCAGAGCCTCAATTCTGTCAGCTCATGTGTGGGCATAATTCCTACTGACTGCATTGGCAGATTGCAAATGCAAGTGAGGGCAGGATTTGTCCTAAATTTAAATTGTACTGCTGGAGTGAGTTCTTTGCCTGTGGCATCATTATTCATATGGCATGTTTTCTAGAGTAGAAACAAGGAAAACTGAATGAAATTCCAGCAAGGAAAATACTGTGCCTGTAGGAAACAATTTCCAAGGCCAAGGAACCACAAGAGATACAGGTCTCAAGAGTTCACTACCTTGTAGGGAAACATCCGGTGAGCAAGAGATTCAGAGCTGCATGTTGAATAGAGGAAGAGAGTTCTCCTAAACATGCAGCTCTTTCTTTCTCTGAGGTTTGCTTGTGTGACAACAGAGCATTAGAAATATGTGTGTATGTGTGCATATATTTTTATTAAATT